CATTTTGACTGATTGGTTGGTTCCTGTTTTGTTTTTGTTCCTCCTGTATATTAGCTACCACGCGTACAAGACCCTGGAGTAATTCGGCAAAATCACCATTATTATTAAATGGTCGCTCATCGCCTTCTATTTTTAAACTACTCGCTGCTACCAAATGTTAAGATTAAACTAATGATTTAATCAAAGAAAAGCAAGATTACAAGATTCTCTTCTGTTTCAAGAATATCAAGAAATTGTCCTTTTTGTGTTTATAGTTTCGTTTCAGTACTTTCGTTGTTAAGGCTACAATCTCAACACTATAAACCAACGCGTCGAACATAAATCCACTCTCTATATACTAAAGATCCACTATAAAGAGGGGAAGAGTGTCTGAGAGTTTCTGACTCGGCAAGAATATAGAGCAAACATTTCTCTATCAGATCAGAGATCGGACAGCTCTGCATGATTTGTGATGACCTCAAGAACATATAATCGGGTAGTAAACGAGTATCGACTACTCGACGAGTTAGTCTCTTATGGGACATCGTTGCCATAATCTCAAAACAAATCATGCAGAGCTGTCCGACCTCTCATCTGATAGAGAAATGTTTGCTCTATATTCTTGCCGAGTCAGAAAATTTTTAACCAAGCACTATACAAAACATCAGATTTTTCAAAAAATATAAAATCCCTAGTCAATTACTCGGTGCATGCCTATTCAAAACTAAATTTGTTGTTATTTTTATTATTTTTAATTGAAATATTTTTTTTTTGTACATTTTTCAACATTGACATTAATAAAAACAACCAAAAAAAAGAATAGAACAATATAAAAATAGTTAATACAAAAACAACATTGTGAAATACAGTGAAAGAAGATTTTACTGTAGTGCCAATAATTTAATATTTTTGCCAGGAACAGTTGATCTACAACTATTGAGAAAATGAGCATCAAAGGATATTCAACGAAGCAGAATATGAAAATTAGAGAAAAATGAGCTACTGCACCAAAATCTTGGTAAAAAAGAAGTAAACTAACATAGAATATTTTAAGCTCATTATTGTTGTATTTGAAGCGTCTGTCAAAACTTTTACGTTGAAAAGTTTCTGACGTAATAAATAATTATGTACACGTCTAATTCAACTTTGACATGTGTTTAATTAATGTTTAACTTAAATTTTATAGTAACAAAAACCTTAGTCATTTTTTATTTCTCCAATTCGATAGCGTTAATAATATATTCTATTTCTAGATGAAATCATTTTATCTTTATTCATGATCTTGCCGATGTTTCATCTGGTTGTTGTGGTGATAAAACATTTCTCGTCATTTGATTAGTAATTCTAGCTTGAATAGTATCTTTAATATGATTTAATTCTTTTGTCATTCTTGGATATACTTCGCTTAAACGTTGTATTATTGTTAGATAACGTTGAAGACGATCAATTTGTTTCTCTTTTTCTCTTTCTAATAAATCAGGTGATTTCAATTGTGGTTTATATTTACCATCTTTTATTTGTTCATAATATCTTGCACGTAATTGTTTTTCAGATAATGTTATTAATAACTAAAGAAGATTATGATAATAATATACAAATTAGTTTTATTTGTGAAAAAAAAACCAATATCATTTTATTTAAAAGAAGAAAATCTGAAGCAAATTTATAAGAGACTTTCTATCACAAGTATTACATTATGTATACCGATAAATAGATAGTCTGAAATCTCTACTCTCTGTATTATTTTTTCGCTTTTCTCTCATTTTTGCTGTCTATAAATCAACTTTATCAGATGTTGTACTAAGAATCATGGCTGTTGAAGTTTCAAATCTTTCTCCATGTATACAGGTTAAAGTTTTATTTCATCTAGCGAGAGTAAATAATTGTAGTTCTAGTACTACTATGTTTCTATAAGCTATCATTTTCTTTCAGCAATTGTTTAACATATCGCAAAAAAAAAACTTTTTCAATATTTAAAAATCGCCTACAAAAATGATTGAAACTGATTTCTAAAAATCGATTTTATTTTTTGAGAAAATTTTGGCCGTAATATTCTTATCATAGTCTTTCATTTGAGGAAGTTTCATGTGAATGAAAGGAGTAATTTTGAGTAAGAGGATTTTTGTTGTGAGTAAAACAAAACATCATTTGATATGAAAATTCAGACTTTAAGTTACAAATGAATGTTCGACTCTTAGAGGCAAGTTGAACTTAACTATCAATGACTGTAACTCGAAAAGATATCATAAGTATCGAAACAAGTTTGCTGTTAAAAATTTGAATGGATACGATGTAAAAAATATAAAAAATTCAGAATATACGTACTGTACTCCTTTGCGAACTTAAATTATCGACTTGTTCTTCTAACTGATCATTTTCAGCTTGTTTTTGACGTAATTCACGTTGAATATCTTCCATTTTAATCACTTGTTCTTGCTGTTTAGCACGATGTACATCAAGTTCTTTTTCTACATATACTGCTTCCTGAAGCAAGAAAAAACCCAAATTATTTCAATTTTAACAAATTTTATTATCTTTTTTTTACTTGTGTTGATTCACGAATTTTTTTCTGTAAATCTACTATTTTTCGTTGTACATTATTTTGCATTACTGCTCGATTTTGTGGTAATTTTTGTTGAAATTCACCACGTGTAACAATTGTATCACGTCGACTTACAGATGATTCCATATCACGTATTAATTTTTCTTGTTGTTTTAATAATTGTTCATAACGAACTTGCATACGATGAATTTCTGATTTCATTGCACGAATTTCACCTTGACCTGTTTCAGAATCAACGGCTGATTTCATTTCTTTTGCTAATTGAATTTTACGTTCCCAAAACATAATCTGTTTTCTATAGGAAAGAAAAAAGAAAGAGAAAAATAAAAGACATATTTCTTGTATTATTTACAAAACTTTACTGAAGTTTAACTCTTTAAATCTCTAATGTTTGATTTTGTGTCAACCGCTTATGAAAATGGATTATATGAAACCTCAATATGACTTTCTCACGCATGAAAAAAATTACTTTTCATTTTTAAAAAAATTCAGTTTTTATAATTTAAATTTAAAATCAAAATTTGAAAAAAAAAAATTCTTTTTTTCCAAAATTCTCGTTAGAAACCAAATATCAAACATATTTAAGTTTAGATCATCAAGTTTGAGGAAGTTGAGACACAAAATGAGTTCAGATGGTGAAGAAACTCAAGAATGACCAAGAAAATGAATCCAAAATCCTAGCAGAATATGACCTTTCGTTTTGTACTATCAGCAGTAGCCTACAGTTTAAAAAATAATTTCTTCAGTTAATATAATTTGAAAGAGTACACCGCTCTACACCATTTTTGAAAATTATTGAATAAAAAAGCTTTTGCTAAAGTATCTAAAAAAACTTAAGATTTTTTTGAAAATATTCCTCATTTTAAAATTTAAATATCTCGGCTAGCATAAAACATATAGCCAATTTCGTTCTCTACAACCAATAATATAAGATTAGTTTTTTCAGACAATGTTTTCTCAGTTTATTATAATGATAATATTGTCTATTTGAATGAATATTAAAGGGTTAACAACATTTTTAGTTCAAATAAAAAGAGCGTATAAGAGAGATTAGGAGATGCAATTGATTGAATAGTCAAAACAAAATAAAATGAATACATACTCTGCTTCAACTAAATTTGCTAATAAATTCTCTCGTTCTTTTCGAATTTCACTTAATCTTTCTTCCATGTGTATGGCATCTTTTTCAGCTTCCTATCAAATTGAAATTAGTTGAGATGATATATATTTTTTTTTTTTTGTTTATTTTTACACAACATACTTTCAATTCTCGAACAAAATCACTTTCTGATAATATATTACTTCGTTCCAATGTTGTTTTATTTGTACTTTCTTTATAAATCATTTTATTTAAACGTTCCAAATCTAATCGAAGTAATTCAATTTGACGACGTAAATGTGAACAATCTGTTTCCATATTTCTTATATGACCTAATTAAAAGGAAAAAAATATATATTGTCATTAGTTTTCTTTTATACTAAATTTATATATATATTCACAAAATATTTACTTTCTGTTCGTAATTTTCTTGCTGATAATATTGTATATTTTAATTTCATTGCATCTGTTTCTTTTTCTAATTTATCTCTATCATTTGTTAAACGTACTAATTCATTTTGTTCTCGTAACCAAACTTGTTCTAATTCAAATATATCACGACTTACTTGACCAATTGTTTTTTGTAAATTAACTACTTCTAATTCAAGTGGACCCAATTCAACACCCTAAAATTAAATAAAATAATAATAAAATCTAAAAAATTATTTTATAAAAAAAATTTATTTATTTTTTAAAATATAATTTATTTACTCCCGCTTTTTCTTTTAATGCTTCTAATTTTTTATTTTCTAAATCAATTCTATTTTGTTTTTGTTCAATTAATAAAATTCGACGTTTTATTTCTTGTTCACTTTTATTAATAATTTGATTTTTTTCCATTATTAATTCATTATATTCTTTTGATTGAATTTCTAATTGTTTTATATTTGTAATTAAATAAGTTTTTTCTAGTGTTGCTCGTGCTATATCATTTTCAACTTTAGATAAATTTCGTTCCTAAAAATAGAAGATAAAACAAACAAAACAAAAATAATAATAATAATAATATAACGAATAATGTTAACATACAATTTCTCGAGTAGATTCTTTTAATTTAAATCGTAATTTTGAACTATAATCAGCTGCTTTTTCTGCTGTTAATTGTTCTTGATTTTTTTGAAATATATCATCTTCTAATTTAACACGTTCTTGATTTTCTTTTTCTATTTCTCGACGAATAATATTTAATTCATGTTGTTTTTCAGCTTTTTCCTAAAATAAATATTATTTATTTATTTACAATTATAAATTTCATTATTTTTAATTCACTGACATTATTCACACGTGTTAACATTGCTTGTGTTTCTTCTAATGCTTTTGTGTATGTTGATACTTCTTGTTTAATTGTTTCAGATTTTTCATTATTAATTTGTAATAATCTTTCTAAATTTTGTATTTCATATTTTGTACGATTTAATACTAATGTTAATTTTTCATTTAATTCTTGTTCTTTAATTATTGAACGTTTATATGATTCCATTTCTGTATTCATTGTATCAATACGTTGTAACTGTAATCTTTAAATATGAACAAAATGGATAATGTTTAGAAATAATTGTTACAATGAATAGTAGTGATTAATGATTAATAAAATAATTGTATAGTTTTAAAAATTATAAAAACATATTTTTTTTTTAAATTTATTTACCTAACAGCTTCAGCCATTGTTGCCTGAGCTTCATCTCGTCTTCTGATACCGATAAGACAACTATTCCAATTTTGCATCAATTGTTTCTTTTCAAGTTCTAATGTTTCCATTTCAAGACGAGCTTCTGTTAATGTATGTTTAATATTTTTTGTTTCTTCCACTGAAAAATAATAAAACATAATGGAATGAAGATATTTTCTCATAAAAAAAAACAAAAAATGATATATAGTATGATTTGTAAACTATGTATGCTCTAATATTATTGATCATAGTTGCTTTGATTCAGCGACATTTCTCATATTGGACTAGAAGATTTTTACTCTTGAGTCTTCTTCAGAAGCAGTGATATAACTACGGATGAGGGGAAGACACTGGGCCATAGCCCAATAAGATTTAGAATTTTGTGATTTTTCCAACTGAAAATTTGAAAAAACGCTTTTGGTTCAGTCGTTTTTCTCGAACTAATAGAGTTGATCCAAATTGGTCACAAAAAATCCTAGTTATGCCACTGTTCAGAAGATTAAGAATTTTTTTCTGTCATGTTTAGTTGACTGATCTATTTCTCAAAAAAGTCCGGCGTACACCAATGTTTCATTTAATATTTCATTTTTATCGCGTATTATCATGCAAAAATGGGATAAAAATGAACAATATTTCAACTACGAGAACTCATGATTGCGTTCAATAAAAGAACATAAACACATACTTTGTGAACGAAGTTGATATTCATACATGGCAATTTGTTCACGAAGCATATCTGCTTGTTCAACAAGCCGATCAACAAATAAATCCTAGAAAAAGATCATTTTTTTTTATTGTATATATTACTCTATATTACTTTGTTCCATATTTGTTTTAACTCACTTGTAATTGTTTTTCTGCTTCAATTTTTGTTACTTCTGTATCAACTTTTTCAGTTGCCCGTTTCATGGTTGCAATATCACCACGTATATCACTTTTTGCTTTTGTCATATAATGTAATCGTAATCGTAATATATCGCGTTCTTTTTGAATATCAAGTGCTGCAAAACAAAAACAAAAAATAAAGTCGAGTGTTTTGCTTTACGGAACGATGATTAATCTTTTCGTATATACCTTGTCTCATATGAGTATCCAGATCAGTTTTCTTTTTTGAATAGTTATCTTTTGTTTTTTTTAGTTCATCTTCTAGACGCTGTCGATCTTGATTAATTTCACCAAATCGATCATGTTCTTTTTCTAATAACATTTGATGTCGAGCTAATTCTTGTTGTAAATTATATAATTCAACACCAAGACTTTCACGTTGGTCACGAACTTGCTACAATAAAACGAACAATTTGACATAATTATTGTTGTTTCAATAGAAAGATATCAAAAACCGAGAGATCAATAATTACTTTTAATTCATTATCAGCTTCTCGTAATTGAATATTTAGTTTTTCTTCACGTTTTTGTAAATGATCTTTGAGAGCCGCTTGGAAACGAGCCATAAGGGGATGACTAGGATCCAATACAACCAATGATTGTTCATCATCCGTAAGTGCATCTTCTACAGAAAAGAAAATTAAATTATATAACAAAGTAAGCATTTTCTCTTTATATTCATACGTAGTCCCTGTACGCCATCGGTTGGACTATTGGTATCAGCATAATTCAACGGATACTCAGTAATATTAGCTGTTGTATTATCCGTTGTAGACGCATTTGGGTTAACTAAAAGACACTTTGAACTGCTAAGAGCAGTTTAGAATGAGCATATATTCTTACCAGGGAGAGGCATGCTACTTTGGGCGTGTGGCCCGTTGTAATCATCATCCATACGCTGATCGGTATCGTCGTTAGTAGACATCTAAAGATAAACAAAGTCTAAAATACACTACTGTACATATTTGAAAAGTCAAACGTTTTTGGTTTCAACACAAAAAATGTATGACCATTCTAAAACGGAATGCAAAACATTTCTCTGCGAAAGTTTTCTATTGTCTGAGTTTACTGAGAAAAGAAATTTTTTACACCATCCACCACTTTGAAAACCAAACCAATATTTTAAAAATGCCGATTTTGTAGTAGATTTTAAGTTACATTTGCGCTAAATACACTTAGGATTTGTAAGAGTTTATTACAGTATTTTTGTATGATTTAATGTAAGTCAAAAGGAATATGTAATAATCAGTTATATCTTAAATGTGACGCAAACGCTAAAGATGCGATGTAGTCAAACATAAGCGATCTACATCCAATAACACAGAAGTATGAGAGCATTGAAGAAGAAATGTATTATCTCCATGTTTTTCCAAAAAGCGAGATAATTCTGCGGAAAACGTCATAAGTTAAACGACCTAGTTTATTCTCGGAATAGAGTGGTAAATACTATCACTTGTATCACAAAAATGTTTTTTTTCTCAATACAACGTGCGGTTGCTATTCCCATGCTTGTTACTACGTTACGATATGCCTATAGTCCTCAGAGAGTTTCTTGCATTTTCTCGTTATATGAGGGATTTACTTATCAATCTTATACATCGGATGACTTTTCATACCACATTTTGGAAATTCTCTTGATGAAAGTGAATTGCACATCTATGCATTCGCCATTAACATTAACCTAAGACCTCCTTTGACGGTGATCCTTTGTTAGCAATTTTATTTCTGAAGTTCCATAATTTCTATTACGTTCTTATCCTAGTTTGACAAGAATTTTTTTCATTTCTGGTTTGGCCACGGAAAAGGTGGGAGGGGCTGTTAATATTTTCCTTTACTGTTATGTTGAAATAAACGTGTGAAGTCATCTTTCTCTTTCTCAGTGATTAATCTAATAAGTTTCGAAAATCTCAGAATTGCGCAAGTAAAACTTTACAAATAATTCTCTCTTTCTCCGATCTGACGCTTAGTTGAATTGCATATGGTGTATACTGGCATATTTGCGAAGTAAAAGTTATTTTGAATACTTTTTGAAAGTTTCGGTAATTGTTAGTTTTTCACGTAGAATGAACCAAATCCAATTGTAAACCCATACGGGAATATGCTACTTAATTGTTAACACTGCTAATCTATTTGTCGCTCGTTCTAGATCTAAAAAAACAAACAAAGTCAATTATTCTATATACATTAATATCTCTCTTTCTCTCTCTTTCAATTTCTATCTCTCTCTTTCTTTCTGATATCAACATTTAATAGGCTATTCCTATTTAGAATAAACAAACGTTGTTGTGGATATAACAAATTGTATTGGTAGTTTTAATTTCGCATGATCGCTGTACTCTTAGAACCAAAATGTCTTTTCCTCCAGGCAAAGCGTCTGATAAAAATAAACGGTTTCAAGTTAGTAAATCAAATGAGTTTGTAACGAAAAGTAAATCGAACGATAACCCAAAACCTGCGGGTATGTATTGACTGAATAATTCGTGCTTAAAATTTTTGATAGTTTTGTATGTGATTTTCTCCATTTAGCTCGTTCGCAATCTGGGTGGCAAAGTTTTGGGAAACCAAGTAGCCGACGAATTCCACCTCCAGCCAATTTACCAAGTTTACGAAGTGAAATCGGAACAGGCAATGGACCAGCACTTGATCCGAATGTACCCATTGTACCGTCAGGTAGTCATGGATGGTCAAGTGGAGGACCATCGTCATCGTCAAATACAACACCCGCTAATCAAAATTTATTATCCACCACAGCAACAGCGGCCGGTGTACAAATACAAAATCATCCAGCGACACCGATTAAATCGCAATCAGCACCGCAAGATTCATCGGCTGCTGTTGGTGGGGCATCGTCGTCAAATAAAGCGGCTACATGGAGTACAATAACAGCCGGTATGTAAGAGGAACACAGATGATATTTCTTGTTTGGCTAAAAGCTTAATAATTATGTTCACATTCATATTTAACTGGTTTTTACTTTGTAAAAAATAGTATATATTGTTTTGTTTTTCTCTGTAATATTATTTTGAGAGTTTTGAGTCAAATATTTGTCCGACAGTTTTGACATACACTGTACGTTCGTATAAATTTACAGCTTTCTACACCTTTTATTTCATAGGTACTAGCCATTATAGTGAGCCACCTAATCTACCAAATTTACAGGATTTTCCACGTTTATCTACACCAGATGGGAAAAGTATGACAAGTAGTACACAGAGTGGAACTAACGTTTCGAATAAAAAACCACAACAGTCAAATGATCAGTCATCTTTAAACAACAATGTACTCAGTTCTTTAACAAATTCAAATACAAGTGGACCAAGTTTAAGACCGGCGAATATCGCATCATGGCGTGAAGGTGGTGGACGCGCACAACCATTACTGACCGATCAGAAAGATGTACCAACAAATCAGGCTGATTTATTATCACGTTCACAGCAAGAATATCCTTCAAATAATTTAGGTGTACAGAATTCATCGTTAACAGCACAAAACAATGTACTACTTGGAAATGGACCTGCAAATTTAATACCACCTCAAATGCCGTCTGGCACCCAATTTTTGCGCATGTATCCACCACAACATCCTCAACTAGTGAGTATTTTGTCGCATTTATTCGACTCGTCTACTTGTCTGAAAATTTTGAGAGTTGTAAGTTATTCGGTCGAAATCTTTGAAGCAGTTGAGTAAGCAAAAAAGTATCGTTGAGAAGTTACAGAACATTCAAAAAGAAAATTTTCGCGTGTGCTGTTCAGAATTCAAGATAAAACTACATGTGTCAATTTTTAGTGGGGTTATCCACAATATAGTTCCTATGGTCCACCATTTGGTGCGCCTCCTCAAATCTCAATGCAAATGCATCGTCAACCATTTGGTGTACCTCCACCACAAATGCATCAGTATCAGACCCATCATCATCCGCAGCAGCAGACTCAAAGACGTGATCATCAACAAATTGACAGCGGTGATTATAAAACTCCGAATATTTTGCATCAAAAAGAACTAGATGCCTTGTCAAAATTAACTGACAATGATACATGGGCCAATGCATCACAATCCGTTGATTACAGTGAAAAACTACAATTTAGTGACAATGAAGATAATGCGGATACAACAAATAAATCAGAACATCAAACAAGACAACGAACTAATATTCATCAACAACAACCATATTATACTCAGCGACAAAATTCAGATTCTGGTTATTCTCAGTCAAGATACAACACGAATCGTCAATCAAATCAGCAGCTTCGACAACAAACACAACCCCCTTATCACCAAACACGTTTAATACAAGATGATGAACATCAATGGAAACAATTACAAGAAAAAACAAACACAGAATTACAAAATACATTAGCCATAGCTATACAACGGCGAGTGGAAGAAGAACGTAAATTGGATGCCGATACAAAAAAGGTACAGAAACTTTCTCCTGAACTATCTTTCCTGTTGTGAATAAAGACTACCTTTTGAGAGATGACCTAGAGTTTTATACTTTCCGAATAATCATTTTTCTTGCAGTGCAACAAATTATCCCACTTTTTTCATTTTTAGAAAACTTCGTCATCATATGATGATGAACAACAAAAACAACAACAACGTCGCGAAACCGATTCCAAATCTCCTGCAATATCAAAAAATCAGCAACAAGAGTCAAATACAAATGTTAGTGGGAGCAAACATATTCCAGGTTATCAAACTCGTCCATTATCAGCTTCGACTGGTGGTAATGGTAATAGTCAAACAGATATACCTTGGAGACCAACAACTTCTCGAACTCGTCAAGATACAAATGAGAGTCAAACATTTTCAATGGCTAGTTGGCATGAACAAATGGAGAGTTTTAATTATGCATCGTTGCATGAAAAGTAAGTGTGCAAAGAATTTTGTTTACATATGGAGAGAAGTAAGATGAGTGAATCCGTTCTGGAGTTCTAAGGAACAAATATGATTTGAGAATGAGTGTTAGTTCAAGAAGTGAGGCGATTTTTGTTAAACTTTAGTTAAAAAGCATATGAAAATCTCATATATTTTTTTAGACCCACGGGTGCTGCACCAACCGAAAGTGATCACGAAAATGATAGTAAAAAGTACAGCCGTTCACGTAGTGAATCTAGTTCTCGTTCACAATCACAAGTTGGTATTCCAATTACGAGTAGTCGAAATCGTAAAAATAATGATCGTTATTCAATTCAACAGCGCCCAAATCCTAATAATAATACCGAACAACAACGTGATATTGTTGACCACTGGGACGTTGGCACTTCCGAACGTGATAAAGATAATGATGAATGGGAGAACTTGGAAGACAATGTTACTTCAAGTAAAACTCATACTAAACAAACACAGCGAAATGGAGTTAAAATTCAACAAGATCCATTTGCCGATGTTGATACAACATCAAATCGATATCGTCAACAGCAACAACAATCGAACATAGATAAACGAAATAATTTTCAACAAAGTCGCGGAAACAACAATCGAAGTTCTTACAATACCCAATCGTCACGAGAACAAAATCATTACGGCAGAAAACAACAGTCTGAAAGAAACAATAATAATAATATATCAACAACAGATAAATCTAAGTCACGTTTACAAGTTGATCCAAATAATAGACAACAGCATTCATCAGGTTCGTTTTTTACTAAACTTTTGAAGCACTATTTATATTCTACAGGGCCAAATTGGTTCAGTTTTTCAAACTTAGTGAAACCAGTTGACCTTGATCCGCTTGTTTCATTAACTACAAATTTTTTTATTAAAGGTGCTCGTGTTTACAATACAGATAATAGTAAATCCTCGACTCCCGATGCTCAATCTGTTAATAATGAATTTGAAGTATTAGCTGCTCCACAAAGACAAAATTCTTCAAATCAGAAAAGTTCGTTCTTATGAAACGTATTTTTATCACCTATTTCTACAGTTTTGATTATTTTTAGATCAATCACAGTCGCAACGTGAGACAACCGAAATGAAACAAGCAAAACAGCCATGGAAATCACTATCACCCACACGAATATCTGACCATGATTCTGAACATTTAATGTTGTCATCTAAAGATCCTACACCATCTGAAGCTGTCATATTAAAATCTCAACAACGTGATTTAGATAATCGTGGTAGTCGAAATGATGATCAACAACAGTATCAATATAATAATCAACAACAACAACGTGGTGGTATAAAACAACAAACACGTTTTAATCAACAGAATAATACATCGACAATTCAGCCTCTAATGAGTTTGCCGTCCGATACAAAACATTTGAGACAAAAAAGTCAGCAATCACAACAACAACAGCCTCAACAACGGCAGCAAGATAGCAGACGTGGCACACGTGATAATCAATATCAGCAACAGGAAAGACATCCAAAAGATTACGATCAACGTAGTCAATCTCATCGTATGACACAAAATGATTATTATGGACAAGAGAGTGGAGAATATGATGAATATGAATATGAAGAGTATGATACACAAGGCTATCATCATCCGGGTGTAAATACCAGACAAAATCAACAACAAATGAGATCTTATCCTCAATTACATCACCATCGAGGTTATCCTACATTAGGTAAACTTTTTACGAAAGAAAAAGACTCTTATCAGCGGTAATATCGAATCGAATATTTCAGATGTAAATCTGAGTTTTTATTGCAGAGACTTTAGCAGAATATGACTCTAAGCAAGTGATCTGTAATCAGGAACTTTACTGTCTAACTCATTATACTTCGTTTTTACTCTGTGCATTTAATATTAGTAAAAAGAGAATATTTTTCCTTTAGGGACCTATGGGAGATATAGACGGGGAGGTCGACACCAATATGGAAGTACATCCGGCACAGGTGGTGTCGGTCAAATCGCTTCAGCTTCAGCCAATATAAATAATGCACGCACAAAAAAATATTCATCGAGTCGAACAGCTCCGACAACTACAACAAAACCGGTTCCAGCACCTGTTTCAACTACTCAACGCTCATCGTTAAGTAAACAAAGTACAATCGAGTCTACTCCGAGTACACCTACGGCAACCACCGAACAATCATCACCCAAAACACAGCAAACCGCTAGTCAAAGATCATCTACAACAAAGAGTACGCCCTCACCAAAACAAATATCAGTTCAACAAACTCGAAGAGAAAATGCTTGGGTAAATAATACAAATACAAATACAAATAAAGCATCCGATCAAAAAAACGTGCAAGCAAGCATCGACATAGCCAATGGTGGTAGTAATACTCCCAGTGTCGATGCTACTATTCAAGAACAACCAACATCTTCATTAAATGAGCAAATACCATCTATATCTGATACTGAACAAAAATCTATCTCAACAGCTGGTAATCAAGAACAAACATCTATTGAAAATAAATCTCAAACACCTGTTTCTGGATCTACAGCTGAAAATATTGCACCGATTTCTAGAACGCATACACCCACGGAGGGAAAAGATAATATAAATGAATTACCACAAACGAATGAATCTATAAGGAAAAATGTTCAGTTACAACAGCATCAACGAACAAATAATCATCGTGGCAGATATAATGATCAGAGACAGCCACCAAGATATAGAAATGCCTATGCAAGAAATATGCAACAAGGTAACTTGTGAATATTACGGAGAGCTTTTATTTTTGTTCTGATATAAAATGTTTGTTATTGATAAACAGTGAAAAGAGGTTAAAACTCAATAGCATTGTTCTTATTCACTAGTTGGTATAAATTTATATTTTCTTTTTCAATAGAATATCAAGCAATGCAATCTGCGAACAGTTATTATGGAAGACGTGGTCAGAGTGGAGGTCGATTACAAATGCAAGATGTCAATTATTATTATGAACAGCTACAGTACGTATAAATCTGCTATATTTTCAAAGTTTTCTTAATTAATACATCTAGTTCTTTTTCCGTTTATAGCTCACATCAATATAATCATGCGGGTTCACGTTATGGTAATCAGTCTATGGGCGGTCAAGATACTCGTCCTTTAAATACTCGAGGTAGAGGACGCGGTGCTACTACTTCAAAACGCGGTAATTTAAATCGTAATGGTAGTCATCGTTCGACAAGTGGTGTCGTCGGTACTTCTGATACAATAGCAAATAAAAGTCATCAATCATTTGTAAATGGTTCACGTGGTTCACAAGTATCATTATCAGCAAATTCAACAGACGATAAAGAAGGTAAGTGATATTTTTTTATTATGTATTGTTGTGAGAGAGATCTATAATGTTCCAAATAGGTGAAGAAGATTGGGAAACAGCATCAGAATCCAGTGCAAAAATGCGTAACGGAAATAATTACGAACGTAGTGGTAATGGTGTTGGTTTAGTTAAAGAACGGGAAAATAATACAATAGTAAATGAAAAACTAGGCAATCGAAATCGAACGCCACCAAGAAAAAGTTATTCTAGTCAAAGGTATGCTTTCATTTTTAGTACTGATAGTTACATTAAACGATTAAAATATTGAACAAATAAAATTCTAATATTAACAAAAGTTAAGACCCCTAAAATGCGGGTTATTATGATGGTTTGTTTATAGCATATAAATGTGAATATCTAATAAATTTATGTTTTTAATCATTCAGAAGATTTTGAATATTTAATTAACTAGTTTTGATCTATATATACAAGGATAGTGGATCAAGAAAATTTATGAGTATGTTCTACCGAGTACTGAAGGAAAAGAGCGTTGTACACTAATTTTTTCTGTATTTAAACGTATAGGTTGGTTTCTACGAAATTAGTTTTCTTTTCAGAATAATTGAAAAACACATACGATTTTTTACTTTTTATTTTCTTCTATTTTTCAGGCCCAGTGCGCGACCGATATACAAATATACAAATGCATAAAAAAATGTTTGTTTTACACAACCCTTTTCTTTCCTATGTCCGAACACAGCAGCAGCAAGAGAGATAGGAAAGAAGAGAGAAAGAGAGAAAATCATAACAAAACCATCAAATTGGCCTCTACACATACACACACACACACACACACACGTCTTATTAACTTTAATAAAAATCTTACGACGTTTCTTTGCGAGAAAAAAAAATGATAATGCTTTATTGTTCATTTCATTTATTGTTTTCGTTTTTCCGTTGGTTTTTTGTTCTTTTATTATTTTGTTGTTGAATCTTTGTTTTGTTTTTGTTTTACCCACCGATCTTTTGGATACTATAGACACGCACACATAGACGACGATTAGAGTATGTATGTGTATGTGTATGCCAATCATTTCAAAAACATTTCTTTATGCATATGTATACACTGCCGTCCTCACTATTACATTGGACTTGAAATTCTCTAATTTGCTTCTTATACTCTATCCTTGTTGCTAACAGTGAAAAGTAGTCTATATCAATTTAATTATAACTAATGAAATGATCGATATACGCGTCTACACATACATACTTTTAAATCTTCGTTATTGTTTTACATAATTTACTTATCAGACGAATCTCAAATTTTCTTTTGCTAATGAAAATAATAAGATATCTAGTATATCGTTTTTGTGGGTATTCCCTCTTTTTCTCTATGTTTTTTTTTTCATTTAGTGGTTATGTTGTTTTTTTAGCTTGAAAAGCATTTTCTCTTGTATATAATGTCTCTCTTTCTCTATTTATTTTAATGTGACAATAATAATAATAATAATAATAATAATAATAGATCTATCACATGCTGCCGTTGAGTGTGTGTGCGTCATAGTGCTAACTGCGAAGTCGACATCTAATAAATAAGGGTGAGCGCTGTGGTATTTTTTCAGGTTTCTTTTTTTTTTCGTCTTCTACTGGTCATTTTTTGTTGTCGTCGTTTTTGAATGATGAATTTGTGTAATTTTTTTTATTTGGGATTGATTTACACGAACAAACGCGCGTTTTTGTTTTTGTTAAATTTGTGTGAATATGTGGGTATGTTCTCTTTATACACATACACACACATTTAGTTTTTACTTTTTTCAAACAAAATAGTGTTGAACTTCCACTAGAAAATATCAGCTAAGTCTTATCTGTTTTTAATTTGGAAGATCAAAAGAAATATTGTTCATCCTTTCTTCTGGTCAATTGATATATATATATATGCATATATATATATATATATATAAATGTGTTTTGTATATATAGACATAGATGTTCGTATTTCTCTTCTCGTGCGTGTTTCGTCCACCAATTCTATTTAAATTAATACTAATAACTTCTATCGGTTCCTTTTGTTTCTTTTTTTAAACAAATAAATAAATAAATAAATATACAATAATAGAACAAAAGAATGCAAGGCGTACAGTTTTCGGCGTATATCGATCATTAAAAAAATATTTAGTCTTCTGAATGAAAGATGCTGAAACTTCTTTCCAATCATCATAAACGTTATAAGCAAAATAAAATAGATCAATAATTTTTACATAAAAGATGTTTCTAATCCTTAAGACGGCAAACTTGGTCATCTTCAGCCTAAACGTACATTTTTTTTTCACAAAAATCTCGATTATTTAATACGAAATTGTTAAGTGATGTAGAAAGTTTGCATTCAATAGCGAATTCAATGTCTTAATTTGGATATTGAAGAAATAGTAGAATGAAACTCTGAGAATATTTCTGGATTAGAGTTTATTTCATTCATTCAGCCGAACAGTTATGCTAATCGTTTAGACCAGCAAATAACCGTTATCAATCCGGTTACAATGATAATAGACGATATTATTCGTATGATCGTGCAACAACACAAAAATCTGGACGGGGCACGAATTATAAAGCCCAACAACCACAACTGCTATCATCAAATGAACAAAATAGACAGCAGCAACAATCGACTGTTAATGAAACGTAAATAACTGATGTTTATTTGCATTAAAAAATAGCTATTTGTTCTATTTTGTTTGGTATTTAGACAGTCCCAAAAACAATCGACGTCTGCAACGACTGGATCAACTACAAATTCTCAACAACTTCAACCGGTGAAAAAAGATTATCGTCATTCCGTTGAAGGCTACGATTTGAATAATGTTGCTGGTAAATAAAAGTTTCTTTTTTTAATGAATATGTTTGTAATCTAAGAAAACGAAAATGTGATTTTATGCTAGGCATGCATCAGTGTCCGTGTTCACACCAGAAAACTAGCATCACTCATATTAACTCTCGTTCACACTGGTACACCGGCACTGGTGACACTGGTTTCACACTGTCACACTGGCTCTGTTCTGTTTTTATAATAATAAAGTTTCTGTATCGTGTAAAGTGTAGAGATATACTCTTTTGCTATGCAGTGGGTATTTAGTGAGCATAGTACCTTAAGCTTTTATTTTTGAGTAGAAGTTCTCTCGACTACTTGAAATTGCTAGTTTTCCATGGTCAGAAATGAGAATCTTCATTATCTATAGAAAAGGATTTAGATATCAGTATCATAGCTAGTTTTCGCTTCGCTCTTCCTTTTCGATCTATTGTAAAAAATGTTTTATTACAGTTCGTTAGTATATATCAGAAATAGTGTAACAGTTTGAAATCAGTGCCAGTGTGAATTTGTACCGGTGTGACCAGCATCCAGTATACTGATACTGGTGCATACCTATTCTATGCGTACAAAATGAGATGTATATATATGTAGGAGTAGAAAGAAAAATGAGCGTCCATTGGGAAAAAATTTGTTTTGGCAAGTGAGAGAGTTTTCTTTTATTCATTTATTGATTTGTGTAGGTGTGGTAAAAGTTGAAACATTACCAGCCGGAGCATTAGAAGAAGAAGGCACATTGGCTGATGATGGCGAAGAATTTAGTGTTGTTATGTCAAGAAAAGAACGTAAAGAACAAAAAGCAGCCCAATTACGACTAAATGCTGCTGAAACAAAAGACGACTCGTCACAGCAACATCATGATCAACTTGATATCACGAAATCTCAGCAACAGCGTACACATATATCAAATAATAAACAAGCGCAAGATACATCTCAGACAGTTTCTTTGAACAAACAGGACGAGGTAAGAATTGTTGAACTTTTCGTTGTTAGTTTGTGTTTCTTTTCTAGACATTTTAATAAAATGAAGGGTTTTCTTTAGAAATCATCAAATGATGCTACTATTGCTAGTACTTTGACAAGTAATGATAACGATCCATCGAGTACTACGAACGTGAACGACACTACATCATCATCTCGTACTCGAGCAGAAAAATCTGTTCCACCTCGATTTAACAGTAAATCATCTGGTAGTGGTCAGCATTCATCATCGTCTTATTATTATGATCAACTCTATTATTATTATGGTAGTTCCTATGATAATCGTTACTATAATTCTTATGATACAAGGCGTCAAGGACGCAATCATGGCGTTTCCAAGCAAAGCCATCCGAAGAATACCCACCAGAGATACGATCAAAGTATTGAAAATGATGAGAATCAACAAGAGAAAAAAAATGAACATCAAAAACAGGTAAAAACAAATATCAGAGAACAATTAGGATCACCATCGGTACCTACTACCAATTCGACATCTATGGATAAAATTAATAATGAAACATTAATGATTTCAACAACAAACAACACATTACCAAATGTTATGACAAATATTCAAATGTGGGATAATTCCGTTGTTAATGAGACATCATCAACAGCAAGTAAAATAATCGAAAAACGTAAGTATTCTTGTATGCTGCAGTCGTTTTGCCTGTTACCTCGTAACAGGCCTGACACTGAGAAATTCAAACGTGAACCAGTCTAAGTATAACTGTTGATTTATTGTGTTTAGCTTCATCGTCAATAGCGTCCTCATTTCCTGGTGACAAAAAATTCGCTGAACATCAACCGAATGAATCGTCAAATAATAGTGGTGAATCATCATTGCCACATCATCAACGAACAGCTGCTGATGTAAATAAATTCATTATTTGCTTTAAAATATCACTACTTCAAATTGATGCAAAGATATACAATACTGACGTAACCTGCGCTTTTTTATTCAAGCTTTTGTTTTTCTGTAAATGTAGTTTTCCAGAGCACTTTATTTTTTACAGATTCTTCAGGTTTTGAGGTAGAAAGCTTACCACGAGAGAACAGAGAGCACAGTTTGGGATAGTCGGTATGCTCTGAAATGCAAGTTTTTAAATGGAATTCATAGTTACTGAGATAGATTTCTGACATGACCAGGGGCATATTAAATAAGCAGCTTGTTGGTGTTCTAGCTTGGCTCAGAATCAACTGTTAGAAAAAGTAATGAAACGTTGGCACGTGCAATAAAACCACCTGTATCAGACGGAAAACAAGCACGCGACAAAGTAAATTGATCTATATATATATCATGCACAATTAACGAATAAATTCTATTCTGATATTGTAGATTAAAGCGCCTGGCTACGAAAAAAATGACTCAATGTCTCTTGATTCCAATCAACTGTTTTCAAAAGTAAGAATGTCACGTTGACATTTTTTTCTCAGATTAATGACGTTCTGTTTCTTGTTTTGTATACTGAATACTGATATACTCATTTAGGAGGTTAATTTCATGACGGATTACGATGATAAAAATACTCCAGGTGACGATTACAACCAAAAAATTAATAAGCTTAAAACAATATGGGATGCTTCTGATCATTCTGGGTATGTAAGATATTTAAATGGTTCTAGTACAATTAATTACGCTCTTCCTCTCTGCCTCACTTTCTAGTAGTAGTTTCGATGCTACAATCAGTAGTATGATTAATATGCAACAGCAAGAGAATTTGACCAATACACAATCGAATGATACTTATTCTCAGTTGGATAGCTCGAATAATCAACAAAATTCACAAAAATCATCATCAAATGTCAATGTATCATCGTCGTCATCAGTTACAAATACTCAACAAGGAAGCAATATTCAAGATGATAGCGGTAAACAATCAATAATAACGCCAACATCTTCAACATCAAACATCAATCCCAATAATAATAACAATAATTATACAAATCAAAATATGGGAACAAAGAATGAACAAAAAAATATATGCACAGTATGTTTACTAACTTTAGCCGCTTGTTTACATTATGCAGTATCATTTCTCTCTTATATCAGGTTAAGCCAACACAACAAGTAGTACCGAATATTCAAGATAATGGAAATGTTGTCGATGCTCCATTTCCTACATTTCATCCAACGCCACCTCTATCACAGCAACAAATAATTACATCCATTTCATCACCACTTGCTCCACCTCAATCAATGCAGCAGCAACCTTATTCAACGTATCCTGTTTATGAGAATACACTATTGCCACAGCGATTTACTCAGAATAGAGTAAGTCTTTTCACTTTTTAATCATCCGAGTTTTAATCACAGAGAATTGAAATGACAGCAACGGAAGAAATACAGTTGTAAAATCTTTTTACGGCATTTAGATGTATCCTCAACCCGTTTCGGATCCGGTGAGTACAGATTATTCAAATATACTTAATATATTAGTAAGTCATATGTGTATAATAGCTATGCTAACAACAAATTCTTATTCACTTTTAATTACTTGTCGTGTTTTCTGTATTGAAAATCTGAACAACGTAGAAATAGTATAATGCTAATATTAATGCTAATCAGTATTATTAAGCCTTTCGTAGACTAATGCTCTTCTTTCTACTGCCAAACTCTCTTTGATTTAGTCGTATGCATGGGAAGAAAAAAATTTTTGTTTTGAACAAAAAATTTTATAGCTTTACCTACATCTTTAGAGTAGTGACAAATATTTATTAGTAAAATTCTGTTAGTGTGTGATTGTTTTTCTAGCTGTACATTAACTCTTACTATTAACTTCACATGTAATAAACGAACTAATGCACTGTCGTAGTACTAACATATTTTTCTTAGTGATTCCTTATTCATAATTTGCGAATCGGTTTACAAAGTACATTTTTCAAATTACTTTAAGGCTACAGGTCACTTATTATTAAATTATTTGCATTTTTAGTATTCGCAGAGTTTTCCAGTTCACAGTCAACCAATGTATATGTCTCCAGTACCAAGTACAAATCTATATCATAATCCACATTCACAACAAGCACCAATATCAGGTAAGAAAAGCTGTTTTATTATTTTGTCTTTAATCAATAATCTGTTGTTGTTGTTTTTTATAGCAGCACAGAATAATTCAATGCCACCACCGCCACCGCCAATGAGTTCATACTCCCCATCAATCAATAATGGTTCATTATATATGGCTCCTCAACAAACAATGATGATGAGCCATCCAATGATGACAAATCGGAATATACAGTCACAGCAAACAAATTCGTATTACCCACGTCCCACTCGACCACAACAGGGAAATACATATAATACACAAGATGCATCAGCAGCCGCAGGCACTCCTCCCTATTATCAAGCTTTTCATAATCAAAGTTCTCCAGCCGTAAGTTTATTCAGCATGTTAATGAGAAAATGGCTGACTAGACATTCTCAGTATGAGGCTTAGTAAAATAAGCTTCATACATAACTAACCTGGAAACTTGTTCAACAGAAGTGAAATTATATCTTAAGAAATAATTAGATGAATATTTGCCGGCCTTTTCTAGATTAAATGTGACTTATTTCATGTTTTCTATTCTAGATTTATAGCCAAGGAGAATCTTATAATCCATTAGGAATGTATCGTGCATCATCAATTGACCGTAATGACCATTGCACGTCTTCCATGTTGCCCTTACAAGCTCCACCTCCTCCATTACGAACATCAAGTTTTCCACCGACACCAACATCGAATCAACCACCTTCTTTGGTACAATCTCAAAATCCTCAAAAGTATCAATTACAGCAAGGAAATTCTGGCTATTTATATCAACATCAACCTCAATATGGTGGTAACGGAAATCATCAACAACAACATCAACAAGGACCACCAGGTTCGTTTCATATAAAATCTTTCTCTTTTATTTTAAAACTTTAATTAATCATATTTTTGCTATTGCAGGTCCAATTGGTAATAATAATCGTATGTTTGACAATCAGCTACAACAACCGACAAATATTGGATCAGGTAACATTGATTATATGTCATTAGCACAACATCCAGGAAATAATAATAATCTATCTCGATCACGTCCAATGTTATCACACGTTCATCAACAACAATTTTTTGGTGGTAGTGGAAATAATCAAAAATCATCGCCATCATTTCCGCTTGAATATCCACAGGTATATAATCAGCCACAACATTATTCTGGCTATACTCATCCTCATCCACAGCAACAATCACAATTGTCAGCTAACCATACAAGACAAGCATTACATCAATTTCATGGTGGTGACAAAAAATCCAATGACAGTAATAAACCAAAACATATGTAGAAAACAATTGATTAGAAACGTATAAAACGTTTCTTTTTTCATTCAAAAGATAAAAGAAGAATGTGTATATGAAATAGAGAAAGACATTTTTTTTCGTGTGTATGTGTATGTGTTTACCTCTTTTATTATTATATTATTATTATTATTATATTATTATTATTATTATTGAATATTGTGTGTTATTGTTTTTTTCATCGTCTCACATATTTCTCGTTTTTCTTTTTCATATTGTTCATTCGCTTCGACACTTATTGTATACTCAGAATGTGTCCATTTACATTTATCGTTACTTATTTAGTCTATGTAATGTTGTCTTACAGAAAAAAATATGATTCGACTAGGGATTGAAACATTTTTTCTTCAAAACAATATCATAATTTAAATCACGGTTTACGTTCCGTTATAAAACGTATCAAAAGTTATATATTCGTCTGCACGTTTTATCCCTTTTTTTTCTTTTATCTCTGCTACAAACCAGAAATTTTGTTGATCTTCGAAGGAGTGAAAGTTAGAGAATTATGTATATGTTTGTATGAAACAAAATAACAATCCATTTATGTCCTTCTTTGTTGTATCACTTTTTCTCAATTTTTTTTTTGCTTTCTTTCAAAAAAAAAATTCTTTTTTGTTCTTTGTTTGTTTGTTTGTTTGTTTGTTTCTTTTTTACCTTTTATTTACAGACAACTCTAAAAGTTAAAAAATAAAAATCTAGTTCGTTTGTCTTTAGAAAATGAGTTGCTATTATTAATTGGAAAGAATTTTAAAGAATCACATTTTTGTAATCTTCCGGGAAAAGAGAACTTTGTAAGTCAAAAAAGAAAGAAAAATTGTAGCTTGTTATAAAAGATGTAGTATTAGTACAATTGAGGATAATTGTATTTTATCTGAAACTAATTCAGGTCAGTTTTAGTTACCTACTTCGCAATTTGTTTGAGATATTCAATTAAAATTTAATCGTTAATCGTTATTTTACAAGAGTCACTAATGCGAGACGTAGTGCAGACTTTAATTCCAATTTTGTAATAGTTTCATGAAACGATAGTTTACAACAAAATATCCGATTAATAATTGTTGTTTTTCTTAAATATTGTTAATTAACAGAAATTTCGTTTATAAAATCTTGAATCGCCTTCGAATTGCGAAGTTTAACATAGATGTTCGATGACTAAATATTCTAGACCGTAAGCATGAATAGAAAAGAATAGTGAAACAGGAAAAATCAGGAAAAAAAGTCGACTTTATATTAGTGAAATGACTTTGCTTCCCATATTATAAATATATAAAAAAACGGATTAGAACTTTCTAAGACAAACATTGAAATGCAAAATCAGAGTTCATAATACTTCATAAACAACAGATGCTTATATTTATAGAGCTCTAAATGAAATAACTTCGCAAACTTAGACGGATTTGCACAGTGATTTTTCTTTACAGTGATTCATAGTAATTGTTCATATCCATGTTCTTTCTAACGTTTTAGATTCGTAATCTTGTTTGTTTAATTTTAATTTCTATTCGTATGCATGCATCAACGACAAGTAAAAGCCGATGTTCTTCACGAACAACAGCAACAACAATTATCAAAAGAACAAGAAAAAACTGAAGTGAATGAACGAGATTTACTTATTCATAACTTAAATAATTTAAACAATTCAGACTTATATGCATTCGACCTTCAACTTACGTTGTTACGAACAGCATTTGAAAGTTATAAGCGTGAGACAGCGTTCAAACCTATACCAAATTTTTTAAACGGTTTCGACACAGAGAAATTGGTAAGTTGATATGAATTAAACTCATAGAATATTAAGAAGTAGGGAGGGGAAGAAGAGAGAAGGGAAGAAGAAGAATCTCGAAGTCTCAAAGAGGCTTTCTGTCATGCTTTGAACAATTAAGAGAAATGATTTGTCACTTTTAGTTAAAAACATTTCGTCTTCCACCCGTGATTACGTTCAGTAGTGTTATTGATCAATTCGACGATGTACAAGTTCAACTATTCAATTGGTTGCTGACAAGAGAAACATTTAAACTCAAAACTGTGCCAGTTGAAGTGGTAGTACAAAAAAGTCTATGTCTGCTGTGTTTGTTACTAGTATATATTAATTATTTTGCGTATTTTTTAGGCTTTATCGCTTGTTAAACATCAACTACATATCCAATCACCTGATTATGCATTTGAAGTTGTATATAATAAAAATCGTCAAGAACATTTTGAAAAACTGACCATGGATAATAAATACAAAATAACGTATGCCTATCATGGCACACGTTTAGATAATTTACATTCAATTCTACATACAGGTTTTCTCGGACATTTAAATAAGGTATTTGTATAGATATATCATTAACATTTGTCATTTGAGTTTTGATTGTTGTGTTCTATCGTTTAGTTGTCATTATTTGGATCTGGTACTTATTTTTCTTTTGAGCCTTCCGTATCCCTCCATTATAGTCCATTTTCATCGGTATGGGCCAATAGTCTATTTGGAAAACGTCTTAGTTGTTTATTACTATGTGAAATTATTGATGATCCACATTATGTTAAATGTGCCACGGAGGGTATGTACCATTTGTTTCGAAATTACTCTAAATATATAAAAATAAATTTTGTTTTGCAACCACTTTTTCGTTACAGAAAAGCTCAAGCCTTGAAGAATTGAACTGGCTCTTCCTACGCACGCAGACTGCCTTTCTGTAACTTTACTCTCAACACAGTTGAGAATATATACGTCAGACGTCATCGAATTATTCGATCTTCAGTGATGGTCACACTCGCGTCACTCATAGAGAAATTGTAACAATGAATTTGCCTTTTCGCTGGTTAATAGCATATTCAGATTCAGCGTCGAATGACGAATATTTTGAAAAAAAAATAAGTCTCCTACACAGAATTTGAACTTTTAAATTTAATCTGAAATTTAAAATATTGAACTTTTTTTAAACTTGAAATATCTCAACTCAGGTAAGTGATATAGACTTCGGACAAAGGCCATTCGATAGAACAAATAAAAATTGAACAAACTTAGGGATTTGATGAGATTCGCATCCCACGTCAACATGGCTTTCTAGGGATCTCCAGAAACACACTTTTTAATTCCACTTCAATTTCACTATTTTTCAAATTTAAATTTTATTATTGAACTTTTTAAGACTAATATCGTCTATATAAACGATATACACTTTCATGTACTCGTCTGCTATAAGGTCACGATGATCTTTTTTTTCGTTTCACCCAGACAGACGATGTCTATTATAGACCACACACCGTTGCATGAACGAGAGAGAAAAGAGAAAGAAAATGCTCATCTGGCGTCTGTCCGTCTCGCTCCCCCTACACAAATGCAGACGTTCATTCTTCACAATAGTTCTTCTCTCGCTCTATATCTTTGATCTATATAAACTCTTTATTTGCACAGAAAGGTAGTCTCGAGGACCGCGCACATAGTAAGGGACAGTTCAAGTTTTCAAGGCTTGAGCTTTTTTGTAAAACAAAATTTATTTAGTTCAAACACAAAATCACACTCTAAATATATTTTAAATAATTTTTTTACAGATGGACCACCATCACAACGACAAGCTGACGATTCACAAGCTGGAGCTGTACCAGAGCAATATGTGGTTGTTAAAAATAATAATTTGGCGCGAGTCAAATATATTCTAGTATATTCTGAAGCAAACGAGCCAGGAAGGTAACTGAAATACAGAGAAAACATGTTATATACAAAGTTGTTCATTCAAGACATTCAGAAACTCTATGATTCATCAATCTTTTTCTATTTTCAGATCAAATCAAACATCAAAAATTCGATTATTTTTGTCAAATCATCGGTTTTATTTATGTTTATTTATCTATTTTCTTTTGTTAATATTTATTGGTTTATTTAATTCAAATATGTTCAATTTTTATTGGCGTATATCGAGAAGAAAATTAAATATTTTATTTGGATCTCAACAACAGCATGTTGTTGAATAATATATAATTAACTTTTGAATAAGTTTTTTTCTGAGAATTATTAATCGTGCTATATTGTGCACGTTGTTATTGTTTTGATTTTTCATTGTTAAACGTTCTATTTTTTTTTTGCGTACTGTTTTCTACATTCAGTCGGTTTTTTTAATGTTATCATTATTTACCTACACAATTGTTTAAATATGTACAAACCTATTTTAAATTTCTTTTTTAATAGAAAGAAAAGTGCAATAATATAATATTGCACTGTTAACGGACGAAAAAAGTATAACTATGATAAAGGACAAACCGTCGAGAACGGACATTCAAGAAAAAATTAGTTAAAACACTGTGCACGCAATGAAGAGTTGAGATGTTGTGTGAACGGTGACATACAGATCTCGTCTGAAGAATCTATACGTCATGGACAGATGAGTTTGTAGTCTGGCCTCTTAATAAACAAGCATGTCAGTATATGATACAATTTCTCGTTAAAAACAATCTTTTCAAGTATTAACACTTGAATTACAGGTAAGAAAATGGATTGGAGACTGATTATTGATGTTAAAGTCTACCACTCTTCTAACGTTTATTTAACGTCTTCATCTTAGCTTAAATGATATAAATATTCCAGTATGTAAAGGTGAATGTTAAAAGTCATGTAGCTTTCCACTACCTTCTGTCACATGTTCCTTATTTAGTTGAGACAATTGCGAGCTTTCATTTTATTTTATTCAGGGTTATCAAAATACGAGGTGTGAAGAAATCTTGAGAAAAATTAAAAACTATATCAAAGAAACTTGTTTAGCAAATACGATCTCATGCTTGAAGATTCATCATATATTCGTGATAGTTCTGCCTTAAACATTGTTTAAAAATAGAATGAGAGTGAAATGCTATAGACGTTGAAGTTTGGACTGTGAGAAAAGATTAGGTGCATTTGGCGATCGAACTGCTGCTTTGAAAATAAAAATGATTTTACTGTAGATCCTTTTGGTTTAATAAAACATTTTCAGACTAGAACACTTTCAAAGGCAAAAAAAAAAGATAGCTTCCCATGTTGTCTATTTTTTAAGAAAACCGATGGTTAGCCACGGTTATTTTAAAAACTGACGATTAACTGCGGTTATTTCAGCTGAAACCAGAGCAGCACAGCATAACAACCGACAGTTAAGCGTCCAGTGAGCGAAAAAACGGTTGATTATCCGCCGCCTTATTTTTTCCGGTTAACTGGCCGCCTTCATCGTCGGTTGTTATGCTGTATTACTCTGGTTTCAGCTGAAATAACCGCGGATAATTGTCGTATTTCAAAATAACTGTGGTTAATCATCGGTTTTCTTGAAAAATAGACGACACGGATCTGTTGTACAGAGAACGAATGAAAATTTTGACGAATAAATTTTCAAATATTTTAGACTTTTAAATGAATATTATACAAGCAAGTAATTCGTCTGTTCAATCATTGAGTATTTATTTTGATGATGACGATGAAGAGAATAAAAAATTATTTGAAAATGTTTATATCTGTTTATCAACATCCTCATCTATCGATCAAAATTTAAAACGTTTTGCATACGAACCACAAGATGAAAATCAACGTCGAGCATCGACTGAATTTTTAAAGCTATTACTAACTCGATGTTATGAATGTGATACATGGAATCATTTGTTCTCAAATCTTAGTTTTTATCCGATCAAAATATTCCGACAAATACGAGACAAACAACTGTTACCCGATTTATCTGATTCGTACATTCGTGACTTGATATTACATCATAGTTCAATATTATCAAGACTAATTCGTTCTCAAATATGGAATGAAAGACGATTGGCAGTATGTGATGATTTTCTTCTTCATTTATTCTCAAAACATACCGTATTCGAATGTGTCATACCAGAAATACAAACCTATGTAAAATTAAGTGGTAATTCAAAATTTGATTATTTACCACGATGGATAAAACGACGATCAAAACTAACGACAGAAGAATATTATGAATATAAGAGACAAAATGAGAAAAAAGTAAAAAATCAAATAACGACAAATATAGAAGAAAAAGCATTAAATGAAAAGTTAACAGAATTATGTCAAAAATGTTACGATCGAAAACAAATGTTGTATCGTTCATTAGCTAAAGAACGTTTTGATACAACACATAAATTAGAATTTATTAAACCGAAAACCACCAAATCCGATATATACACATCGTTCTTCAAATTCGATTTGATACCACAAAAACAAAAAGTAAGTAGAATACTGTCGTTATTCTTTGATTGTATACACTTAATTTATTATTTGTACTTTTTTTTAGGAATCAATTGAAAATACTTTATCGACAATATTTTATCAACTCCATTGTAATCATCATTCTATTTCCATACGTCATCAACATTTACCATATCGTTACACGAGACAAAGTAAACCTCAACCAACAGCATCACTCGATCAACTCGTTCCATTACGTACACCTACATTATGTGTGAGAAAATTAATTCGTTATTGGTTAGAACATTTACTACCCGTTGAATTATTTGGTGATGTTAATAATAAGAAATCGTTTATTCGTTACATATGTTTGTTTGTATTATCGCCGCGTAAACAACGTTTTCTCATGAATGATTTTCTACATTGTTTAAATTTATCTGAAATTAAATGGTACAATCATCAAACAGAATGGATCATTGGTAAACTTTATCTTTGTTTAATTATTGACTATTTGATTGATTATGTTATTACATTAGTACGTTCATATTTCTATATTACAGAATTGGCTGCACCATCACATCCATCCGTTTTAACATTTTACAGTCATCGAATATGGTCTCGTCTTTACTATTTGGCACAGAAAGAATTGATTGATAATTATTGTTTTCCAGATCGAATACCGATAATACCACTATTATCAGATTCAAATTTAACTCAACTACAAACAGATGATATACACTGTTTTTGGAAAATACGAATTGTTCCAAAACACGATAGTGTACGATGTATAACAAGACCTCTCATCACTGAACAATATTTATCCGATACAAAAGAATTATTAAAATATTTTCGTATTAATCATTCTCATCTATTGGGTATATCAGTATTTAGTCGAACTGAAATGTACAATAAATGGAAACAGTTTATGGATAATAATAAGACAACAAATAATAACGAAAAAATCATGTATTTTCTACGAACTGATTTAAAATCATTCTATGATTCGATCAATATCTATTATTTGTACAAGTCAGTCGAACAATTTCTTGACGATTGTCAATTTGATTATAATCTTATTATTAGAAAAATTTCAGCCAAAACTTATCGTGCACATCGTTTACTCATCGATAAATTTTATCTCGTACATAGAGAAGATGAACATTTATCCGATATATTTAATAATAACGGTACTAAATATAATGAACGATTGAGAACAAAATTTCGAAATGCAATCATTACTGATGAAGGTGTAGTAGATATTTATGGCAAGTCAAAATTGTTGAAATATATTCATGCACAAATTTTCAGGTAATCCTCGATGACAAAAAATGGTTTTGTCTAATCATTTCTGTGAAATATATCACTCTTCTAGTGAGAATGATGATATTGTTGCTTTTTTACTATTTAGTTCGTATCTGTGCACCCGTTCACAATCTACATCATATCGACGATGTTCTGGTATTAATCATGGTTTGAAAATTGCACCAGTACTCGGTGCCATTTATTTGTCAAATGTTGAGAAAGACGTACAATTGAAATTGTTACCGGATGAATTTGGTTGTCGACATGCCGACGATATTTTGATTATGTCACCGCATCGTTATCGTTTGAGACGAATTAAAATAAAATATGATAAAACATTGATGACACTTGGTCATAAATGTGGACTGATAAAAACCAAAAATAATTTAAGAAGGAAAGGAAATGTGAATGATATTAAATCTCGTCCGATATCCTATTGGGGCTGTTTAATTAATGTTCAAACTCGAGAGATATTGGTGGATAAACGTACAACAATGGAGATGAAATGTCAACAAATAATGGATGAAATTTGGTTAGATACACATGAAAATAGTTATCGTCAACAGTTTCGCTCGACTGTTTCAAATGATCTTTATTTAAAATCAAACATCTGGTATTTTGATTTATCGTACAATTCATTAAAAACATTTTATCGAAATTTTTTCTATTTATCATGCTATTTTATTAATCGTCTTCATTCAATGTGCTCAAGATTTTATCAGATACATTCTTATAGTTATAAGATAAATTATGATGAAACAAATTGTTTATCGCGTCTGATCAACAATGCGTTTTTTATACTCTATCGAAAAGCATGTTTCGTAAATAAGAATACTGATGATATCAAACGGGCACGACGTGTTTGTAAATATTTATTTGTCACAGCGTGCTGTATAAAATTAAGAACAAATAAAAGTTTCTATCCAAATCTGATCATTAAACGTCTGACGTGTCAACGTCAACGTCTTCGTATTAATCGTCAAACGTTGTTTAGTGTTTCGACGCAAACTCTTTGAAAACGATCAAGTAATCGGTCTAATGAGTTCAGCGAAAAAACAGATGATATATCTATTCTAAAAGAAAGATCATATCTCCTTGATGTTTTATACGTATAAGAAATATCATTTTTTACTTCTAATAGTAGTTTCTCATGGTGTGTTCATTTTTCTTTTGATGCTGTTATAGTATTTTTTGAAAGTAAAAATGAATTTAACTACCAAAGAAACAAAAAGCTTTGAGTTTTGTCAAAAATACTGTTAAATATGTATATTTGTTCAAGTTGATCTGTATGGAGAGATCGAAAATATCGATCCTACCTCTTATCCTCACCAATACACGTTTTATTGATAGTGTGACACTATCAGAAGTTGAATTTATTCGAAAATTGGTGGCTATAGCTCGGAGGAAGACAAAGAGATATAACAGAGCACCGTCGGTCGGACAATGTACTGTATCGGTATATTCTGTTTCAATGTTTAAGAAACTACACTGCAGGTTGCCTTGAACTCAGAACAGGACTTATAGTAATCTTTTTGTTTTGCAATATGTTAACCATCTCGAAATGTGAATTGTAATGCTAACCGTACCTATTACTGAGCAAACATCAATTACCATTATTAGAAATCTGAAAGCGATAAAAATGTGTATGTCTTTTTCTTTGTAGTACTGGACATTTCGAAAGTCTAACTTTCAAAGTCAACAAAATTGATTTGGTAATATTTTTCATAATTTTTGCTTTCAATCATTATAATATCTCTTTTCGACACAAGTGTAGTAAACGCATAGACCTCAAAACTAACTTTTGAAAAGCCATTTAAAAATACATTGATGATCAAGAACAGTCACCGGAATAACGCATCTGTGAGAATAACTCTTTTAGGATTCAGTCCATTAATAAACCTTTGCATTTCTTCTAGTTTCCAAAATTGAGTAAAAAGAACAAACACAAAAATATCTTGAAATTATATTCGCTAAATGTTTTTTGTATATTTTTAACTGCTATATAATCGCCCAATTTAGCTTTGATAGCAGATACATCTCATGAAGTTGAAGAACGCTCTAAAACAGCTGAATTATTAGGGTACATATTGATTAAGAGATTATGAAGTATCAAGCGGAAATGAAAGCTCAAGAATTACTAATAAAAGTTTCATCAACTGCGATATATAATATATTTATGCAATAAGCGATTGATAAAGAGAAAGAGTAGGAATGTAAAACAATAAAATTGTTATTGAAGTATTTAGTATATATTTTGCCTATATATCTGTTGATCTACTTATAAAGTAATATTTTAGGTCTTGATAAAGATTAACGTCATATTTAACATGTATCGGAACATAATATCAAATTGAAAGATACATTCATTCAAAATTCAGCAGGATATATCAACTGTTCAACGTTTTGAAGAGAATTGTTTGTTAAGGATGGTTCTGTAGTTAAAACTACGTCATTTAGAACCCCCATCATCTGTGAAAGCCTCATGTGATTCAACAAATACTGAAGAAATGTGATTTGTTCGTATACTACACTATATTGTATTCAAATAAACTATAGCTATATCCTTAGTTTAAATGTGTATAATCAATGAAAGTGAATTGGTCAATGTAACATGGTTAAAAGATCAATCATTCTTCTCCGGTATGACTAATGACACAAGATATGATGCTACTCTTGCTACATTAACATTTGTGAATGTTAAACATGATGATTAATCATATTATATTTGTCATGGAACACATGCAGGCGGGGCAACAAACCAAACCGCTCAGAGTATTTAATTGTCAAGAGTAATTCAAAATTATCTTATGAATGAATATTAGATCATTTTCCTGTCATTAGTATCGATGCATTTTAAGAAATCTTTCATTAGAAAAGTCGATATTGGTAAAAACAATCGATTTCGAAAAAATCATATGGTAATATAGAGCAGAATCTTTTTATTTTACTACTACAAAGTTCAGGATGGTTTTGTTTTATAGATGAAAACTGTAGCAATGACGTCACAGAGTCGAACTTTTGATATTTATTTCAGATTTAAGACAACAATAAGGATCTCCAAAAACCCCTGCAGAAGCTTTTTCGAAATTTTATGATAAAACTACCACTTTAACGGAAAAAAGAGAAGTTCAAAAATTTAGCTCTGGGATGTTGTAGCTCCACGTTTTCTTCTTAGAAAAAAACAATCTCGACTTTGTAAAGGAAGAAGAGAAATCTTTAAAACATCAGAAGCTTTATTTTGGCCTTTATTATGTCCATAACTCTCGAGTCACATGAGATATAAACACGAAGTTTTTGATTATAACGACATGCTCAATATCCTCTGAGAGTTTTATAATGATCCAGTCTTATTGACAAAAAATAAATTCTTTACGAGAGAAGGGACTAAAACAAGATGGAATAAGAAAACATCTACTTCCATATTTAGTTCCATTTATAGCAATAATGAAGAAGTTGTTTATGTATCTCTACACCAAATATCTAATATTCGAGTATTGATAGTGTCATAAACATATCAGTTATCGTCTATCATAGAGTCATCAATTGTGCTTAGAAAATATTGATAAAAATGCTCATAGCCCAATATTTGTTGAATCATTACGAATAATCAATACGTCATTTGGTCAATTTGTTACATTTGAATATGTTATACAAGTTGAACCATTACCTACTGTTAGATGAAAAACATAATAGTATTCATTTACAAAATGATAATCAGCACATGATAATAAGACAGAATAATCTTGATTGATTAACAATAAGTGATATGCAAACATTTAATTTTCAAAAATATTTATGTAAAGGAGCAAACTCTGGTGGTGAAATATAACATCTGTGTCAAACTTAAGTATATACGATTTGTCAACCTAACTTGTTTTATGTTTAACAGCCTTAAGAACTAATGATTAATATTGATGCTGATATATTCTATTTTTTTGTTGGTACTATGAGAAAGAATGTTGCATTAATTAATACTAATTTTATGCATAACATATAACAGAATAATAATAAGCGAAAGACGACTGTCTGATCGTATTATCCTTGTATTATATGAAGTACAAGAAATTAATATAAAACAAAATGTTAAACTTTAAATACATAATATTTAATAAATGTACATTTTAAAATAAAAAATAAATAGAATTTTTTTAAAAGTACAATATCAGTCAGTTCTAGATAGTAAAAAAATCATTTAATAAAGACAGAATTACTAACAATAGACAACATACACCTCGATCAATAAACCTATATTATATATCGGAAGATGTCGATATTCTTCTTTTTTTATTATTATTATAATATAGAGAGGAGAAAAACTGGAATAACTCCAAATGTAAATAGTTGTTGTTGTTTCGTTCTTGAAAATGCTGCAATTTGCCCTTCACAAAATATATATATATTTGTATAAGATATATTTTGGATAAAAGAAGAATAGATATATAAGCATCTTTTGTCCTCGTATATATTAATAATATATATGGATGTACATCTATCAAATATCCGAGTATAGAGGAGAAGTAAAAAAAGTGAAGATGATTTTTGTTCGACGTTTGTATCAATGTTTGATCCAAGTGTCACGATCAAATCATTATTCTTTTGAGACCTTTGTCTTCAATAAAAATCAGTAAACAACGTAAGGTGATTATCATCTTTCATTCTCTCTTATGTTCATAAAATTGAACATATTATACAAACTATATGTTCTATTGTTTGTCATTCAGCTATAAATAAACGGTTATGATCTAAATAAACAAAACTAAGTGAGTACGAAGAAGGAAATAGATCTTTGCCAATCTCTTGAATCAATCAGATAAATTATTTAACCATTGGTGATTGTAAACGTGATCCAAAACATGAGAGCTTGTAAAATTATTCGAATTACTATACTCAGAAAGAAGAAATGAGAAAACACATAAAAACTGACCTTGTACTGATAATATCACTCATTCTAAGAATCTTAATTTATCTTGTATAAAAAATCGAATTTTTCATTAGATGATATTTTCTCACTATTGATTATTTCAGATCGACAGAGTATCTAGAATAAATGCATTTTTCTTGTTTAAAAACAAGGAAACAATGATCAATCGTGAACCTCGTTTAACTGAACCACTGAAACCAACTTACATAATACGTGAAGGTAATTAATTATTATCTTATGTTTGTTTTCTGTTATGTTGAACGCTAATTTATGTATGATTTAAGGTCAACCCGTAAAAATTTCATGTCGTTTTGATGCTCATCCACGAGGTGATATTCAGTGGTTAAAAGATGGTATCCCAATTGATTTTGCATCTATTGGAATATCAAGAGATTTCACCGTATGTACATATATTTTTGTATGTTAAAATAATGTTGCTTTTGTAATACTTTTTCTCTTTCCATTCGCACCTGTCTAACTAGTACTACAGACATATTTATTAGATGTTTATACTTTTATTATTATCATCCATACACATAGACGATACTAATAATAGAAAAAAGTGTCGTCTTAAGGATATCTCTCTATATAATGTAATAAAGTATTGTCAGCAGTCTCTTTCTATTACTTTATATTTTATCAAAAATATATCATAACAAAAAAATACATCTATAGGTTGTACGAGAAGTTGATTATTCAGCATTGATCATAAAAGAAGGTTTTCCAGAGGATACTGGTTCCTACACAGTTGTTATTCGTAATCCACTTGGCGAAGCACGATCATATACAAAACTAGCTGTCGAAGATTATTTTTCACGTACACCGTGAGTATCTCTATCGAACTGTTTATGTCAGACATATAGATTAGAAAAATATATCGTTTTTCTAGAGATTCTGATTTTTCTGATACACCGAGTAAGCCAACATTCGTTCAACCATTAAGAGATATTACCGTTACTGAAGGACAAAAGTTAAAACTTCACGCAGCAATCAACGCACAACCAGAACCAGAAGTGCGTGTATAAATGAATACTTCCTTATTTTCTATCACAAATCATAATGTTTTCAGATTATCTGGTACCATAACGATGTACCAATAAAAGACTCGCGAGATGTTACATTAAAATTTGATGGTCAATTATGTACATTGTATAAAGATCGTTGCTCACTCAGTGATATTGGCTCATATCGACTAAGTGCTGTTAATTCATCTGGCCTAGCTGAATCAGTGTGTCACGTAACAATTACTTGTATGTGTTTTTTCTCTTATTTCCTTATATTGTATTATCAATACATATTATTTTTACAGCAGCGCAAGGTGCTTTTCGAGAAAATCGTTTATTATCTTCTCGTTTACCACCCGTATTTATAGAATTATTAAAAGAACAAACGCTTGCAGAAGGTGAAAAAGCCATCATGTCTGTAAAACTATCTGGACAACCAAAACCACAAGTATCCTGGTATAAGGACGATCAACTACTACGAAATACAAACGAGCATAAAGTATGTTGTTTATCTCAAGGTCCAGGTATATTTTCTTTTCTCTTATTGTTTAGATTATAAATCAAGATGATATTTACAAGTTAGAAATACCAGAGTTATTTTCAGATAATGCGGGTATTTATTCTGTTAAAGCGGTTAATAGTGAGGGCGAAGCACAAAGTTTTGCATCATTAAATGTTTTATCCAAATCTTTTCATCAAAAAACAACATTTGTAACAACGGAACGATCAACAAATACCAGTGTGCAACAAAAAGATGGTGTTAGTAATGAGCAAGGATTACCACCCGAGTTTCTTCAATTATTTACAGACACAGAAATAAAATTAAATAGTAGCATCACTTTTGAAGCGACAGTTGTCGGCATACCAAAACCAAATGTACGTTTCACCTTGTTCTGTTAGAAAATCCATCAGTCTACTTTTTTGCTCTTTAAAATAGATCATATGGCTTTTCAATGAATTACCTATCCCTAAAAGTCGCTATCAACAGACGGTGACTAATGATACCTATACATTAACTATTCGCAATGTTCGAGAAAATGATGCAGGAAGATATTCATTAGTTGCTGAAAACTCACTAGGAAAAGCCACGTGTACGGCTGAATTATTTATTCGTAAGTACTGACTGACTAACATAGTTATGCATACGTAAAGCTTTCATAGTCGACTTTTTCTTATTTCATTTGTTAACGAAGAATATTATGTTGATGAATGAAATTTAAATCCAAAATGCTTTTATGCTTGTTGTAATAAGTAAGCACGCATATGTACAACAGTATAGTTTGCACGATGCTCACAATCACACACACATAAATACATATTCGGCCATCCATGCATTATCCTACAAATTGCTAGAACCTTTATTATTTTAATCACCGAGCATGAATATTCCTTTATCTGATCTTTTTATCTAATATTAACTTAAAATAAAGAAAAATCATCACCATCATCATCCATATGCCTGAACAACTGAAGTAAAACATAATATTATTCGAAAATTACATAGATTATCGATGAAGAGAGAAAGAAAATGTTTTTTTTACTTTGCCGCCGCAATGTTATGTTTGTTTATGCACGCTTTCTATCATGCCTTTATCCATACAACACATACTACACTACACTGCTTTAAAACTAACATTAAATGCTTAAT